TGTAACATACAAGATATGTAAAGTGTTTTCTTCATGTTCCACCTTTTCGATTGGAACAAAATCAATCAAAGTAAAATGCACACCAAACAAGACTATCATGGATTCATATCATGTCTACAAAAGTTGTTTATCATGATCTCAAACATTTCTACATAAATATATGGAATTTTTTGTTTGTGGAATTTATAGTAAAAATAGACTATTTATGCCCCAAAGTTAGACCACCAACTAATATATATATATATATATATATATATATATATATATATATATATATATATATATTCTCATTATATGATCCACTTTATTTACTACTTACTTAACATTTGATTTTGGTATGTAGGTTTACTACTTCCAAATGTATCTGGCATTGGTTCTTCTTGGTTTCTTACATGGGCTCATTTTCTTGCCAGTAAGTTATTATAACCATTTCTCCATCGTTCTTGCCTCATAAATTTTTTTTCCTCATGAAAAAGAATTCATTTTGTCACATTGGCATCAGTCTCACTTCCATTCCAGTGCATACCAAACACAGTACAAACTAATGATTATATGTTTGTAGGTGGTACTAAGCATGTTTGGCCCACCTTCTAGACGAGTTCTTATTGAGAGGAAAGAAGATAACAAGTCTTCCGCTTCATCATCATTATAACTTAGATTCTTTCAGTCTTGTTCTCTCTCTCAATCATTCTCAATTTATCATAGGCGAATTTTCTCATGAAAAAAATGAGGGTGAACACAATCAATGTGTAAAGTGATAAAATATAGAGCTATCTTAAGTTATATAGACTACACGTGAGCATAGATGTAACTTAACTTCTATCCATTTATGTAATTATAAACTACTCATAGCTTGTAACTCGTTATTATGGATTTGGTTCTGTGTCTAATTGATATTTTTTTTTTTGGTTTTGTAATTAGCTTTGATTTTGTTTGAGTTTTGATTTGGAGTTGGATTTGGATTTGGTTTTGTTTTCATTTTGGTATTATCTAGTTTATTTTAGGCACTACTAGAAACTTGAGTTTTAGCTACGGATTTAGAGAGGGATTAAATCTGTAGCAAATTTTAGGCTTATAGAGAGGGAATTACGAGAGATCTGCGATGGTTTAAACAAATTTTTTTATTTATTCAACATTTAGCATATTAGAGAGTGTTTAGCGAGGGATCAACTACAGATCTCTCAAGTATTCATCGACGGACTCTTATCCCTCGGTAATTGGTGGAAAACAAAGGCATTTGGCGAGGGTTCAACGAGGGAAAAAAGATCGACTTTTTGGCCATCTGATATGTGTTTAGCGAGAGAATACCGACAGAGCATATGCACGCTATGTTTTTAAGATTGACGATCTCTCGCTGAAATTGATGCTCCAATTCCAAACTTCGTGTAAGTTTTCTTCCGTCCCAAATCAGATTTGTCATTCAAATTGAACACGCTTTCACCCAAATCTGAAATTGACAACACTCTCGAGCTGCAACTTGCTTAACCTAATCTCACCCTCTCTGTTCAAACAGATGACGACAAGAACGGACCATTGCAGCTTCCGATTCCGACAGCCTCCACAATTTTAAAATCTGAAATTATTCTTCGTTAACTTCCGATTCAGGTAAATCTCTTGATTTAATTTGCTTTAGTCATATATTAGGTTAGGTTTGATTTAGTTGCACAATATATTACGTTAGGGTTTAATTTCTTCATTTTTTTTTCCTTTTTCAATCGTCATTCCTCCACACAATACAATGCCCCTGATTTGCAAAGTTGTCAAAGCTAGAAAATCCCAAGGTGTTTTGGTCGTAATATTGCAAGCTCCAATCACAATGCTAGTTAGTGTGAAATGTTTGAGTGAATAAGAGGTAAATAGGAAAGTAGGCAGAAGAGGAACATGCACATTATGAGCATAGGCAGGGGCATTATTACTCTGATAGCCATTGGAGTCTTTCAAGTTCTGTTCCTCTCTGAATATACAACATATGGAATTCAAAGAAATCAATCCACTTTGGTATGACCATAAAAATCCTTCTGCTCTTAAACTGAGAGATATACACAGACACATAAACACACACACACACACATTAACTCAAAGATGACACAACACCACCCATTAACTCCCTTGGTAAAGGAGAAGCTCCAGGAATTGAAGGTGAAGGAACAGTAAAAGGCAAGTTAGCAGGTTTTGGAATTAAAAATTTATGCATCCGCTTTCCTGTACAATGTTTCATATTTTAACCAAGAACCTGAAAGGATAATGAGTATGTCTAACCTACTTTTAATGTATGACAGATTGTATGAAGCAAACCATCCTTGTTTCATCCAAAGCACTCAAACCAAAATCCGAAACCTTCAAATTCCATTCATCATCTAATAACAAATTCTCAGGTTTCAAATCCCAGTGGTAAACTCCACAGTCGGAAGGGTAATTTGGTCTAATTCACACTTGTCCATAATATCTTGTTTCTTCAAGTGTAATTGTGCGATTACAGTCTCCGTAGCATCTATCCTATTTTTATGCTTTGTTATGTTTGTTGTAGCAGCAGAGATTTCTGTTTTCCATTCTTTCATCTCCTTCTCACACCTTTCTGATTGTGACTTCCACTCTTGTATTTCTTCCTTCAATGTATCAACCTCCCTGGTAGCTTTCTCTATAGTTGATCTAACTTGTTTCTCTCTCTCATCAACCTCAAGCAAAACATTTTTTAGTTCATTCTGTGATGATTTCAGCTTAGCAATCCGTGCTCCCATGTCCCTCTTTTTCTCATACTCCAGCTGGTATTTCTTTGAAACCACACTGATTTTCCCAGATGCTTCAGATATCTTTAACTGCATCTCACTTATTGAACCCAGCTTCTGTAACTCTGCTTCAAACCCTTTTTTTTCCTTTTTGAGACCTTCTATCTTCTTATCATCACATTTATGTGAACTCTCTTTCATTTCACCACTTATACCAGCAGTTATGGTACCAGCCTTTGTTAATAAAGTTCCATCAATAGTTACAACTTTAAACCCCTCTCCAGTCCAACTCAGATGCTTAGCCTCATCAAGATCTTCACAGACTAACGTATTCCCCACAGCGAATAGGATGGCTTTGTCAAATACTTTGTCATTTGAAATCACATCAACGATAAGCCTTGCAGTTCCTCCTAAGGCTCGCAGCTTCCCAATGATTGGCTTGACTCGGACTGAGTGAAGAGGTAGAAATGTCATAGGAGGAAACCTTTGGTCTTTTAGATACTTGATACATTCATTTCCTGTATACTCATTATTAACAACTACAGCATCCCTAAATCTGCCCATAGCAACTTTATTTGCTTCATCATTCCGGCTTTCATTACGTTTGATTTGTCTATGATCTTAATTGCAACACTTGTCCCGATTTCAAGGTTCCTTCCATGGTAGACTTTTGCAAAATTCCCATGTCCAATCAACTTCCCTAACTCGTAACGTTGCATCAAAACACCCTCTTTGTTATCCGTTTACTACAATTAACCGAAAAAGTTCTAACACTTTCAACGATTTGAAGAGATGTGGTCAAAACACGTTTTCGTGCTCTTACTGGGATTCTCAGTTTTATTTTAATGGACTAGATCTGGACTATATATGATAATGGACAGATATACCAAATCTATGACTAGACCTGAAATGGAAGAATGAACTATCAGATACATATTTTTAATCATCAAAATATAAAGTGAAGACGGTATTCTTGCTTCTAACTTGATATGAGCTGTCAATCTGTCATACATTAAAAGTCAAGAAATAACATATCACTACTAGAAACTTGAGTTTCAGCTACGGATTTAGAATATGTACAAGGTTTTGGAAAATATGGGTTGAATAACATGTCAAAATGAGTTTGTGTCAAACCTGAAAGAAGTATGCATCCTACTTGCAAATTCTAATATGATTTGATGCTTGTTCTAATTTACCCCTAGATATGATATGCTTGTTGAATCTCCCCTGATAAACTCAAGAGTAGGAGATCAGTAGATGTTCTGAAAAGGGAAAAACTAGATAGAGGTTCAAGGAATGAAACTAAGGAAAGACATATTAGAAGAGGTTCTCAAGACACACGTGATGTTCCTCGATACAATATCGATTCATCACAACCATTTTCTCTTGATGAGATAGTTGAGGTCAAAGAAGCAAGCAGAAAGTCAATGACAAAAGACCAGATAAAGGAAAGTACAAAGATATTTATCTAAATGGAGTGTTTAGCCCTCCAATGAGCAAGAAAGAAGAGAAGTATGATAACATGGACATCTCAGGGAAGGATGTTCAGGTTGATAATGGTTATGTTAATCATCAGAAAAATGTGAATCAACCTGGTTCATCATCTACCAGATCAAACAGAAGCACACAAAACAAGGACACTAAGGTTCGAAGACCAGTTGATATTGAATCTGTACCCGAAGTAGCTCTTGATGACATTGCAATCAAAGCAATGATATCTATTTTGAGTGGTTACATTAAAAGTTTTCTCAAAGATCAAGATTTCAGGACATCAATGTACCACAACTGCTTTGCTGCCATTAATTTTTGTAAGTTAGAAGAAGAAATAGTGGCTGAAAGCAAAGTTATATCGAATCTTGACCAAGCCATAGAAACAGTTGAAAAAGCTGCAGATAATCGCGTCACAACAAAAGAGCTCAAAAAAGCTTCTTTATAGCTTAGTGTGATCACAAGTCTAAATGCTATCTCTAACCCATTTGTGACAAACTCCAACATTTCTCTCATTAAACAAATACTCAAAATACCCTTCAACAAGCATGTGCAAAAACTTGGGTCATTAATCACTCATATATACAATAATGTAAATTTCCATTATTTGGTTAATTAACCTTGTTTAATTCACGTGTGTCTCTGTGTATGCATGCTTCATTTCTGTAATATGATAACTCATATTTTCTGTAAAACTTCATTTCCTTTCTGTATCTGTAATAAAATAATTACTTTTTTTTAACATCTCCCTAATTGCCCTGATTCTGTAGGACCAGGGAGCTTCCTGAAAGGTGAATCAGAGGGACTTTTGAAACTTCCTACAGACATCGCATTGTTGGATGATCCTGCATTCCGCCCTTATGTTGAGCTCTATGCAAAGGTATATTGTGAACTTATTATTATTATAATATAATAACCAAATGTGATGCCAAGTAAACTTTGATCTTTTATTCACTGGGTAGAAACTAAAGATATATTGCATTTATTCAATATATGGACATCCAAACTAAAGAAAAGAAAGATGATGTTTTGACATTCTAGAATGTCTTCACAAGTATTGGGCGTAGATATCCCTTGTGTCGTACATGTGTTTTGTTGCTCACATGTTACATAGTTTGACATGTTATAGTGCCTATGTTTTCTTTATGTGCTTTGTGCTAGCTTACAAACATGCTGTATTTAATCACCGTGTTAAGATTGATGATGAGATAACATTGGTAAGACAGCTAAGTCCCTATCATGCATTTGCATTCCTTTATCAAGCAATGATTTAAAGATGAAAAATGTTTTAAAATATTGAAACTGATTTAAGACAAAAGGTGATTAAAGCTGAAATAATATGAAAGGCGTTTTAAAAATGAAAAATCATTTTAAGACGAAAGGTGTTTAGATATGAAAAATATAAATTGTTAAAAATAACTTATTCATTGTTATTAACAATGGGATAATAATTGTTCTATTAAATTAAAATGTTCATATGAAATATTTCCATTATTTTGAATCATATTATAACATGAAAATGTATTAAAAAATTAGAAATTAAAGTTATATTTATAATGATAAAAAGTGCATAATAAAATATTTGAAAAATATATATATTGTTGAAAATGACTTAATCATGTATGATATTTTATTTTTTCACCGGACTTTTTAGTAAATGTTTTCAATATGTTTGATTATTGCTAAAATTTATTATTTATGTTTAATGGAGCAAATCATATTTTAATTCATAAACACTCTTTACACAACACACACATACAATATTTTTGTCTTCAATGTCAATCTAAAGATATAACTATGTGTAGCATCCACTAATCACTCTTATTGTATGCTAATATATTAATTAACAAATCAAATTATAAAGACTCCAAGTATGTTTATTGATATATTTTATAACACTAGTTTTAATAAAAAAAAATGTCACTTAACAATTCTTGATTTGCTCACCTGAACAGTGACTACATTTTCTATCGGCAAATCATGTTCTTGGTTTTTTTCTTGAATAATAAGCCTCTGTCCACTGCACAAATTAAAACCATAATAAGGGAAATTACTTTTTTACCCTTTTTAACAAGAACAGTAACTAATATACCTATGGAGCCATGTCTTGTAATATAGCTCCTCAAAGGGTTGGAATCCTGCATTTTAAATTAAAAAAATAAAATAAAAACATGAATTATGTTTTTAAAATATAAAAAACAAATTAATACTCACCCTGGTGGATCAAAATATGGAAGAAATGCTCGAATTTATCAAAGACAGTTGATGTAATGTCTTTTCTTTGTAGTTTGTAATCAGAATTTAATTTTTGGAGCTCTGAATTCAATGATGTTGTTGGAAACGTTTATCACAATCAGGGAAAAATAATAGAAATAAATTAGAAGATGGCTCTGTTTCCAAACATACCGGGGATTCTATATATATTCGTCAACATAAGAAAAGAACGGTAAGATGTTTGCATCTCACCTTAGTTTCCACTTAGACTATTGAGTTTTTGTTTTGTTTTTTAATGTATTACTAATGGATTTTGTAGAAAGCAACACTTAAACGCCCTCCTACAGGAGTTGAACTTTATGCAAGGTTGCACACTAAACGGTCTACTCAAGAGTACATTACACCAAAGGCAGCTAAAGTTAAGACTTTGTTAAAGCAACAAATTGACATAAAACAAATCTTTCGTAAGTAGTAATCAACTTACAAAAGAAAAGAAACAAATTATTATCTCTAAATGTTTGATCCTCTTCCTAGTTGTAATTAAGTGTTTTGTAAGTAGTAATCAACTTTATGCAAGGTTTGAGTATTAATTAATAGGGGGCTTATGTAGTGGTTCATTCCATCCCTTGAATATGAATTTAACGGAATGGAATGAACCATTCCATTCCTTATTTCATGTTTCTGTTTTCTCATATATTTTTTTTGCTATAATAGGAGGCTTATGAAAGAGCTATGGTGGCTAAGTTTGGTGATGATACTAGTTGTCACCCCCTCTTGGATAATGAAACATGGTGTGATGTTTCCGGAGGAGTCAAGAAAGGAAGAATATATGGATTCGGATCTGTATCTGATCCAACGAGCTTTTTGGAAGGAACATCTAGTACAATAACATCCCAAGAGGTTCGTTTAATTTTGTACTTTGTAAAAATTTCCTATCATAGCATTGTACTTACAAAGTTTCTTATCATGGCATTGTACTTACAAAGTTTCCTATCATGGTATTGTACTTACAAAGTTTCCTATCATGGCATTGTACTTTAGGTTGTCTATGAACGTGTACGAAACGAGATGCGTGGGGAAATGGATGCTAAAGCTGCAGAAATGGAAGCTAAACATCAACAAATGCGTGAGGAAATGGATGCCAAAGCTGCAAGAATAGATGCCAAACAACAACAAATTGATGCAAAATATGAAGCAATGGAGAAGATGTATGCAGCCTTGAAAAATATGATAGGAAATTGAAAATTAGAGGTAATATGATGTTAACCATTAGTATTTTATGTTTTTGAATGACTTGTTAACCTTTTGTATTTGATACTTTTGATTGTTTTTATAGGAATGAGAACCGAAGATGATTGGATGGACATGAAATGAAGCGAGCAGCTAAAATGTTATTTTGAAGTTATGTTTTGTGAAAACTCATTTCCCAATGCTTATTTTGAAGGTTAAACTTTTTTTTTGTTTGTACCTCTTTTGCATACTTTGGATTTCTTGGTGTTAAAATGTTATTTTGAAGTTAAACCTTTGGGAGTTTGATGTTTTATGGATAGTTTTGGTTTTGGATGTTTTTTGAATGATACATTAGTAAACTTTGATAGTTTTGGTATTGTAATGTTTGGTTGTATATTATTTGATGTTTTTTAGTATAAAAGTTTGATAATTGTAGTATTTTTTTTCTTTTAGAATCATAATAAAAAAATGATATTAGAAGTTCGCGACGGATTGGTGAGAATAAAAAAAGCTTTTTAATGCATCAATTTTGCGAGGGATTAGCTACAGAAAAAATATTATGTCTAAAGTTTGTGACAGATCAGCGACGAAACAAAAAAAAAAAATCATGTATAAATTTTGCAAGGGATTAACTATGGGAAAAAACCATGTCTAAAGTTTGCGACAGATTAGCGACGGAAAAAAAAAACCAGTATATGAATTTTGCAAAGGATTTGCTACGGAAAAAAAACTGATCAAGGAAATTTGTGACAGAATAGCGACAGAATGGAGTTATCGAATTTTGTCGCTAATGCCCTGAGTAAATGTATTGAGTGACATTTAGCGACGGATATTCTGTCGCTACATTTGTCGCAAGGGAAAACCTCTCTGTCGTTAAAACCCTTGCTGAGAAATTAGCCACCTATTAATTACCTATGGAATGAATCCGTCGCTGATCCATCGCAAACAACATTTAGCGACGGAATAGCGACGGAATCTTCCGTCTCTAAAACCCATGTTTCTAGTAGTGAGGGTTTAAGCCAAAGGAGATGGGGAATATATTTTTTAGGGTTTTCTCCGAAAAGGATGAAAATTTTGGAGATTGAATATGAGGCAAAATAGGCCATTTACTTATATTTAACACCCATTTGTTAATGTTGTACATGTTAGGGGCCATTTGTACAATAAAATATGTTTTAGGGACTAACAATGCAAAAAAAAAACATATGGACCGAAACCATATTATTTTTCATGAAGTAGATGATGCACTAAATTTGTAATTTAGTGTACAGTATAAATCCATTCAATCTCATTGCCTTTTGGAGATGAACAGAAATGAAAGTAGTTGATATATATGTTCATAAAAATATAAAGATTTTGTTTTATTATTTTTTTATTTGAGTGCATAATTAGAAAATATCAAAGTTAAAGTAACATAGATATCTATTTTGCTTAAGCTTTTTGACACTTGCACACACACATACCAGTTATTCGCGTTGTGGTTGAACACATAATGGATCCCCTTGGTTGGTGTAATGTGACGTATTAATTTGAAAAGGCAATGTGCCAACTTTATTCGACGTTTCCTTGTTAAACACTCAACAAAATCTCATTTCACCTTTTATTTCAATTCTTGCCCACAATTTCAAGATTTTGTAGGTTTATTCGTGCAAATTACTCATTTGCTCCTCTTGTAAAAATTCATTTTATGAAAATAAAACTTTAAACAGATCATTTAAAAAAAATAATTTCCAATATGATTTGAACTGGTTTCTTTAAACATTACTTGACGTCTCTTCGATTAGTTAAACTTTCAAACAACAGGTCATAGAAACCTTTCTAGTTGTTGTGTTTCATCGTCATCATAATTAATTTGGCTGCATTTCGGTTTCTTTTTATCTAATAAATGCAGTCGTAGAAACCTTTAAAACATCATTGACATACCTAATCCATAGCATCCATCATCCATGTGCAAAACTTTAACCAAAACATAGAAAACAAGCCATGAAACATATTGTTACAATTGGGTTTCTTTTTATCTAAAATTTGTGAAAGTTTTATTTTTAGCTTTGAGAGTTATTTCCTTTTAAAACTCGTCCATTTATCCACTAACAAGCATTAAAATATAAATTGGTTCCGTTTTTAAATCTATTTTTCTTCAAAATAGTTGTATCCTAATAGACAATTAATCCAAATCATATAAAATTATACTTGTATGCAACTATATTAACGAATTGTTTTAAATAAAATGTTATGTGAGAGGGAATGAAGTATACAATGAATGGATTCGATATTTTGTATGATAGATTTTCCTTAATTATAATGAAAACATAATACTTTTAAAAAAAAAAAAAAGAATATAGAATCAACCAAAACCCCCAACATCTCCTAAACCTTTATTCTTTGTGTTTATGCTTTTTTTTCCCCACTTTTACTGTTCTTACTCTTTTATTTGAGAGTTGTGCATTTTGTTTGAGACAAGAAGATATAGCAAACAAAGCAAAGTGCAGGTACGCTCTTTCATCTGTAGTAATTTTCAAGCATTTTTTGTACAATCCATGGTTTTTTGTCTATCTTTTTCAAACTGAACACTGATTATGATATCCACACTTCATATTTCATCACATATCGCATGAATTTGTGTTTGTGTAAAATAATGGATGAAAAGATAAAGCAAGCAAACCCAGATGGACAACACTGAACATCATTCTTGACAATATAGCCTTAACGTCTATTACTATCATCATGTTTAAATTAATCAAAAAGTTTCTCTTCAAATTTATTTTAGATTTTAAGTTTTCTCTTTTTCAAGATTACGTCATAGGTCTATGGTTGAAATATAATGCAACTTAACCTTACCCGAAATGAATATAAGATGCATGTATTTGTTCATTATATATGTACTTCCATCGAATTGCCCTTTTTAAATTGTCGGCTGCTGTACTATGTAGGTGTGATCAGAAGTAACAATTTTGAGCAATGGATGTTATTAATGCAATTATTAAACCAGTTGTTGACACTCTTATGGTTCCTGTTAAGAGACATCTGGGCTACATGATAAACTGTACAAAATATGTTAGGGATATGCATAACAAATTGAGCGAGTTGAATTCTGCAAAAACTGGTGTTGAAGATCACATTAAACAAAACACAAGTAGCCTTCTTGAGGTTCCAGCCCAAGTCAGGGGTTGGTTGGAAGATGTAGGAAAAATCAATGCAAAAGTGGAAGACATACCTAGTGATGTCAGCAGTTGTTTCAGTCTCAAGCTTAGGCACAAGGTCGGAAGGAAAGCCTTCAAGATCATTGAGGAAGTTGAAAGTCTCACAAGAAAACACTCTCTAATCATCTGGACTGATCATCCGATTCCACTTGGAAAAGTTGATTCCATGAAGGCATCCGTCTCTACGCCATCTACTTATCATGATGACTTCAAGTCAAGAGAACAGATTTTCACAGAAGCACTACAAGCACTCCACCCAAACCACAAATCCCACATGATAGCCTTATGTGGGATGGGTGGTGTTGGGAAAACCACAATGATGAAAAGGTTGAAGAAGATTGTGCAAGAAAAGAAAATGTTTGATTTTATTATTGAGGCAGTTATAGGGCACAAAACGGATCCCATTGCTATTCAGGAAGCAGTAGCAGATTACCTCAGTATAGAGCTCAAAGAAAAAACTAAATCAGCAAGAGCTGATATGCTTCGTAAAATGTTAGTTGCCAAGTCAGATGGTGGTAAAAATAAGTTCCTAGTAATACTTGACGATGTATGGCAGTTTGTTGATTTAGAAGATATCGGTTTAAGTCCTTTGCCAAATCAAGGTGTCGACTTCAAGGTCTTGCTAACATCTCGGGATGTAGATGTTTGCACTATGATGGGAGTCGAAGCCAATTCAATTCTCAACATGAAAATCTTACTAGATGAAGAAGCACAAAGTTTGTTCATGGAGTTTGTACAAATTTCGAGTGATGTTGATCCCAACCTTCATAAGATGGGAGAAGATATTGTAAGAAAGTGTTGTGGTTTGCCTATTGCCATCAAAACCATGGCCCTTACTCTTAGAAATAAAAGCAAGGATGCATGGAGTGATGCACTTTCTCGTTTAGAGCATCATGACCTTCACAATTTTGTGAATGAAGTTTTTGGAATTAGCTACGACTATCTTCAAGACCAGGAGACTAAATATATCTTTTTGCTTTGTGGATTGTTTCCCGAAGACTACAATATTCCTCCTGAGGAGTTAATGAGGTATGGATGGGGCTTAAATTTATTTAAAAAAGTGTATACTATAAGAGAAGCAAGAGCCAGACTCAACACCTGCATTGAGCGGCTTATCCATACCAATTTGTTGATGGAAGGAGATGTTGTTGGGTGTGTAAAGATGCATGATCTAGCACTTGCTTTTGTTATGGATATGTTTTCTAAAGTGCAGGATGCTTCAATTGTCAACCATGGTAGCATGTCAGGGTGGCCTGAAAATGATGTGAGTGGCTCTTGCCAAAGAATTTCATTAACATGCAAGGGTATGTCTGGGTTTCCTATAGACCTCAACTTTCCAAACCTCACAATTTTAAAACTTATGCATGGAGATAAGTTTCTCAAGTTTCCTCCAAACTTTTATGAACAAATGGAAAAGCTTCAAGTTGTATCGTTTCATGAAATGAAATATCCGTTTCTTCCCTCGTCTCCTCAATATTGCTCCACCAACCTTCGAGTTCTTCATCTCCATCAATGCTCATTGATGTTTGATTGCTCTTGTATTGGAAATCTGTTTAATCTGGAGGTGTTGAGCTTTGCTAATTCTGGCATTGAATGGTTACCTTCCAGAATTGGAAATTTGAAGAAGCTAAGGCTACTAGATTTGACAGATTGTTTTGGTCTTCGTATAGATAAGGGTGTCTTAAAAAATTTGGTCAAACTTGAAGAGGTTTATATGAGAGTTGCTGTTCGAAGTAAAAAAGCCGGAAATAGAAAAGCCATTAGCTTCACAGATGATAACTGCAATGAGATGGCGGAACTTTCAAAAAACCTTTTTGCATTAGAATTTGAGTTCTTTGAAATCAATGCTCAACCGAAGAATATGTCTTTTGAGAAACTTGAACGATTCAAGATCTCGATGGGAAGTGAGTTAAGAGCGGATCATTTGATATCGAGTAGTCACTCGTTCGAAAACACGTTGAGGTTGGTCACCAAAAAAGGTGAGCTATTGGAATCCAAAATGAATGAGTTGTTTCAAAAAACAGACGTGCTCTATTTAAGTGTAGGGGATATGAATGATCTTGAAGATATTGAGGTGAAGTCATTGCATCCTCCTCAATCCTCTTCGTTCTACAATTTAAGAGTCCTTGTCGTTTCGCGTTGCACGGAGTTGAGATATCTTTTCACAGTTAGCGTTGTAAAAGCTTTGTCAAAACTTGAGCATCTGAGAGTTTCCTACTGCAAGAACATGGAAGAACTCATACATACCGGGGGTAACGGAGAAGAGAAAATTACGTTCCCCAAGCTGAAGTTTTTATATTTGCATACACTATCGAAGCTATCGGGTTTGTGCCATAATGTGAACATAATTGAGATCCCACAACTCTTGGAGTTGGAACTAGTCTATATTCCAAATATCACAAACATTTATCACAAGAATAATTCGGAAACATCTTGTTTACTGAACAAAGAGGTAAATTAATATGTGTTATATTAATTTAATTCAAACAATCTTTAAAGTTATGTAATTTTATTGTATAATGTATTGCATGGACAAGGGTATTAATGGATGCTTAATTTTGTAGGTTATGATTCCTAAGTTGGAGAAATTGTCTGTTCGTGGAATGGACAATTTGAAGGAGATATGGCCTTGTGAATATAGGATGAGTGGTGAAGTTAAAGTGAGAGAGATTAAAGTGGATTATTGTAATAATCTTGTGAATTTGTTTCCATGCAACCCCATGCCATTGATACATTATCTTGAAGAGCTTGAAGTCAAGAATTGTGGCTCCATTGAGATGTTATTCAACATCGACCTAGATTGTGTTGGTGGAGTTGGAGAAGATTGCGGCAGCAGCAACTTGAGAAGCATTGTTGTTTTTCAATTATGGAATCTAAGTGAGGTTTGGAGGGTAAAAGGTGAAAATAACTCCCATCTCTTGGTTCGTAGCTTTCAAGCCGTTGAAAGCATTACAATTGGAAGTTGTGTGAGGTTTAGACATATATTCATGCCTACTACCACCAATTTTGATCTTGGGGCACTTATCAAGGTTTCCATTAGTGCTTGTGGAGAAACCCGGAGAAAGAATGAATCCATGGAGAGCGACAAGAAGGTATGGCTTTCAATTTCACTTTCTACTTCATTAAGGGTTAGCATCCTACTTTTTTACTAGTGTCACATAGACACTTCACCAAAATCGATATATATTAGATATTTATAAATATCCCCAATTCCATTTTACAATACACAAGTAATTATTATTGATTTTACTATATAAGTAAGTAACTGTAATAAGTTTAACATTTAAAATGTCAATGTTTAAAAAAAACCCAGTTAACTGAAATAAGTTTTAACTAAAAAACGTGACGGTTAATTAATCAAGAAACATGTTGTTTTTGAAATGAGTACAAATTTAGAAAATGATTGAACCATAAGTAAAAAAAAAAAATTAATATTTTATAAGGAAATTGGTCAACCATAATCAATTACATTTTATAATATTTCTATTACAAACTAACTTTTGATAGGAAATTTAATGGTTTCCAGCCATGAGTGATGTCCTTTTTATAATTGTTATGATGCCTAAGTTGTAATTTACCTATCTTATTTTATTCTATTTTTTATGAAATGTCGGTTAAAAAAGTGGATATTATGTTGTATAAAAAATCCATTTTTGTCTCTTGTTTGAAAACATATCACATCTTAATTTGTTTTTGTTAGAACAACTAATTCATACAACCATCTAATCATACTCTTAAATCCATATCTTTTGTCCACAATGAGATTTGAACCTTCAACCATTGGAGAGGTGCACTCTTTCAAAACATCTATTAATGCTAGGCCAAAGGCTTTTTGGTTGTCACATCTTAATTGATTTGTATTTTTCTTTAATCTCCCAATATGCTTGTTGCATGGAACCATCTTTCCATCCTTCATTATTAAACACAATTATAATTTCCTTTTTAAATGTAATGATAAGAGGTTTTGAAAAAGACATCAAGAGTCTTTGGTTTTTTTTCCGAGATATTTTTCCCTTATGTCATAATTTTCTTACAATCAATTTTTAAATGGTTCCTTTATTTAAAGGGAAAAAAATCCTTATTAAATTTGTTTACTATTTCCGTTATTTCTACATATGCCTTCGATGTGCAATTAAATAATTTATGCAATTCGGCATTAGGTGATTCATGTTACTAATTAGATTTCTTCTCAGACTAATATTCTATCAAAGGAAGAGACGTCACAAGTCGATGATAGTATTTCTAAGATCTTTAGATTCTCATCGTGTCTTGCAAACTCTTTTCATAACCTCCGTATGCTTGAATTGCGGAGATATGAAGGAGTGGAGGTGGTGTTTGAGATAGAGGGTGAGAGTCCAACAAGTAGAGAATTGGTAACAACTCACCATAACCAACAACAACCTATTATACTTCCCAACCTCCAGGAATTAGTTCTATGGGAAATGGACAACATGAGTCATGTGTGGAAGTGCAAGAATTGGAATAAATCCTTCACTCTTCCAAAACAACAATCAGAATCCCCATTCCACAACCTCACAACCATAAATATTTACAGATGCAAAACCATTAAGTACTTGTTTTCACCTCTCATGGGAAAACTTCTTTCCAACCTAAAGACAATCGATTTAGTAAAGTGTGATGGTATTGAAGAAGTTGTTTCAAATAGAGACGATGAGGATCAAGAATATACTACATCGGTATTTACCAACACAAGCACCACTGTGTTTCCATGTCTTAATTCTCTATCTCTTAATAGACTTGATAGTCTCAAGTGTATCGGTGGTAGTGTTTGTGCCAATGGTGTGAATAATGAAATATCTTCCAATAATTCCACTACCACTACCGCCTTTGTTGATCAATTTAAGGTATGTTTTCTATATATGAACCAACTTATTTAATTTTCTTTTTGATATCATATTTATATTGCAATGCTAGAAACAAAATGAAGAGATCCCTTACATGAGAGTTTTTTACAGCCTATTTTTTACAGTCTGTATAATAGATAAAATTACTGATGTAACCCTTGTGTAACAAAATTACAGAAATGGTCCCTGTGTAAGACAGAATTATAGAAATGGTCCATTGTAACAAAATTTAAAATATGGTATCTGTGTAATAATGAGGTTACAAAAATGGTCCATATGTAATAGCGATATCACATAAATGGTCCCTTTATACTAGCGACATTGTAGAAATGGTACTTATGTAAGACAAAATTACAGTAATTGTCCCGGTATAATAGCGAAATTACATAAATATATCATTTGCGGTTTTTGCTTCTTTAATTATTATGTTTTATACCAACCTTTTATATTATTTTATTCAGTCGAAAATATAGTATTCATAAATCCCCTGTAAGGCACGGACAATCAAAACTAGTTCACTTGTAAAATTATGATCAAGACAATTATCTACTAATAACTTTCTTTTTGTTTCTATCTAATTGACCTTCTAACCATCCTAGGTTGTGGCTATATGATGCATATCCTTTGTTCTTTCTGTAAACAAGCATGTTAAATACTTTTTCATGATAAATATTACATTTATTATGTTATTTTTTGGACTATTTTCCATTTATAGCTATCATTCCAACCAATTATATATTTAAGTCTTGCTAACTACCAAATGTCCCTTACCTTAGCCGTATCAGGTGTTAGAATTAGGTGTCCTTCCCCTAAGTGGCTTAGGGTTCAAATCTTGTAGTGGACAAAACTGTAGTTTAGAAATAGGATTTAGAGGGTGTTTGTGTTAGACGTTATAAAAAAAAACTAGCTATAATAATAAATTTTAAATTTTAATTTCTTTAACCTCGTTGTGACAAACACATGCTTTCTCAACCTCGTTTATTTTGCATTCCAGATTTTAGATTGTAAAGTCGTATTTCATTTATTTTCTCTTTAATACTACTACATTAATAATAGAAAATCAAAAATACTTTTGTGACATGAAGAATACTCGTTAAGTACAAATGTTGAATTAAATATCTTTATATAAAAGTGGTGTATATGTATGTGGGTAACAAAGAACTGCGCTTTGTTAATTATATTGATTTAATTTTACATTATCTTTCATGTGTTGCAGTCTTCTCAAGTGGGTGATGTTTCTTGGGCCTTAGGCCAATACTCCAGAGAAATAACAATACGGATGTGCTATAAATTGTCAAGTTTGATTCCATCCTATGCAGCAGGACAAATGCAAAAGCTTGAAAAGCTGAAAATAGAACATTGTGGTGGGATGAAGGAGCTATTTGAAACTCAAGGGATCAACAACAACAGTATTGGTTGTGAGGAAGGAAATTTTGATACACCAGCAATTCCACGACTGAATAATGGTTGCATGCTTCAACTTGTGAACCTAAAGGAGTTGAATATCAACAGTGCTAACCATTTGGAATATGTATTCCCATATTCGGCACTTGAAAGCCTTGGGAAACTTGAGGAATTGTGGATAAGGAATTGCTCAGCAATGAAAGTGATTGTGAAGGAAGATGATGGAGAGCAGCAAACAATAAGAACAAAGGGTGCATCTTCTAATGAGGTTGTGGTCTTTCCTCCTATAAAGTCCATTATACTATCTAATCTACCATGCCTCATGGGTTTCTTCTTGGGGATAAATGAGTTCACACATGGTTGGTCGACAGCCCCGCAGATCAAGTATATAGACACAAGCTTAGGAAAACATAGTCTTGAATATGGTCTAATTAACATTCAATTCCCCAACCTAAAGATACTGATTATTAGAGATTGTGACCGTTTGGAACACATATTCACATTCTCTGCAGTTGCAAGCCTCAAGCAACTCGAAGAGTTAAGGGTATGGGATTGCAAGGCAATGAAAGTGATTGTGAAGAAGGAAGAAGAAGATGCATCATCATCATCTTCTTCTTCTTCTTCTTCTAAGAAGGTTGTGGTCTTTCCTCGTCTAAAGTCCATTACGCTGGGCAATCTACAAAACCTTGTGGGTTTCTTCTTGGGGATGAATGACTTCCAATTTCCATTATTGGATGATGTTGTAATCAAGAGATGTCCCCAAATGGTGGTGTTCACATCTGGTCAGTTGACAGCTCTGAAGCTCAAGCATGTACAAACAGGCGTAGGCACATACATTCTTGAATGTGGGCTTAACTTTCATGTGTCCACCACTGCGCATCATCAGGTATAATTATATATTTATTTATTACTATTTTTTTTTACATCATCTAATTAAGAATCATGCCAACATTGATACTAGTTTTAGTCAAATTTAGGTTGGTCGAATCAAAGTTTTCCGTATTGATCGAAGAGCAGAAGGTCGATCCAAAACAAACCTTACATATCTAACTAATTAACTTACTGTGTGAGATCAAAAATAGTAACTGAACAGAAACAATTAGTAGGATTTAATCATCATCACTAATAATTATAATCTTTTCATTGATAGTCGTCATATTGATTAATTACTACTCTTTAATTAACTTGAGTTTCATTATAATTACAACACACGACATGCCAAATATGCCTTACGTTTTCTTTATTCGCCTTGCAGAACCTATTCCAGAGTTCAAACATTACAAGCTCATCCCCTGATACTACAAAAGGAGGAGTACCTTGGTCTTATCAAAATTTGATCAAATTACATGTGTCCGGTTATATGGAAACTCCTAAAAAGCTTTTTCCATGCAATGAGCTGCAGCAACTGCAAAATCTGGAAATGATTAGACTATGGCGCTGTAATTTGGTAGAGGAGGTATTTGAAGCACTCCAAGGGACAAATAGTGGTTCTGCTTCTGCATCACAAACTACTCTTGTCAAACTTCCAAACCTAAGACAAGTGGAGTTAGAGGGGCTAATGAATCTGAGGTATATATGGAGAAGCAATCAGTGGACAGTATTTGAGCTTGCAAACCTAACAAGAGTTGAAATTAACGAATGTGCAAGGTTAGAATATGTATTTACTATTCCCATGGTTGGTAGTCTATTGCAACTCCAAGACCTAACTGTAAGGAGCTGCAAGCGTATGGAGGAGGTGATCAGTAAGGATGCAAATGTAGTTGTAGAAGAAGAGCAGGAAGAATCTAATGGCAAGAGGAATGAGATTGTGTTACCTTGTCTAAGGTCCATAACACTTGGTTTGCTTCCATGTCTTAAGGGGTTTAGCTTGGGGAAGGAGGATTTTTCATTCCCATTATTGGATACTTTGAGATTCATTAAATGCCCAAAAATAACGATTTTCACCAATGGAAATTCAGCTACTCCACAGCTAAAAGAAATAGAAACAATTTATCACTCGTTTCATGCAGGGGAAGACATCAACTCCTTTATAAAGATCAGACAACAGGTAATAAACTAGATCTTTCTTGCTTTCATCATTTTTCAAGTACATTTGAAGAATTCATGCAAGTATTTTGTTATTGTCAAAAGCCGCAACCTATATTTACAAACTTTTATTTATGTAGTTTATACAGCACCCACTCTGATAAGCATAGACAAAGTCTCCGATTAATGACAAGTGAATATTAGAGGTAAATTCCATTTTCATGTCTCCTAATTGACAGTTAGTGGCCTTTTAATTCATGATTTTTGGAATGTACATATTCTTCATGATGATATGTAAATGTTCTAATACTCCCATTGACATTTAGGTTGAATGGTGATGATCATCTAAACCAAAAGACTATGTGTCGGTAGTATTCAAAAAAAGAATTGTTGATCATATGAAGAGGATACTAAAGAACAACATGGTTGCTATGAAAATGTTCAAGAACGGGGAGAAAACCGTATGGATCAAATAACACGCTACTCCTTGATCTAAAATTGTTGGTCGAAGTGTTAGCCTAATAAACTTATTGGGCTTATTTTGTTATGGGATTTTAGCTAGGTCAACCTAGATTAGCTTATAGAACCCTAGCAATCTTTCTTCTCCACTATTTATTAGTTTGCATGGTATCGGTGCTCTATTCAATCCTTTTTTCTGATGTTGAAGTCGACTTGTAGCAAGCACGCTGACTTTGCGCGCATTGTTGAAGACTATTGTATCAGAGCTCTATTCAAAAATTTCAGCTACTTTGGGTATGATTTTTTGGATCATTTTTGTATTCCGTTTGGTATGATTTGTTTAATTTCAAGGATTTTGATTGTTGTTTTGTTCATCTGTTGCTGCTACCATTTGTTTCGATTTACCCCAAACAAAAAAAAATATAGGGATGACATACGTTAAAATCGGAAGTTAGAGACCAAACACGCAATTTACCCCAAAAGTAGGGACCATTCATGTAATTTACTCAAAAGAAATTGTTTGATTTTATTGTACCTCAGTTAGAGCTCAAAGAAAAAACTAAATCAAAGCTTATAAGCTTTGTAAAATGTTACTTGCCAAGTCACATGGCAGTAAAAATAAGTTCCTAGTAATAATTAACAATGTATCGCAGTTTGTTGATATGAATACTATTGGTATAAGTCCTTTGCCAAATTAGGGTGTTTACTTCAAGGTCTTGCTAACATCACGGGATAGAGATGTTTACACTATGATGGGAGTCGACTCTGAACATGAAAATCTTACTTGATACAACAGCACAAGTTTTTCCAACGGTTTGTAGGAATTTCTAACAATGTTGATCACATACTCCAAAAGAACAGAGAAGATATTGTACGAAATGTTGCATTCTATCTATTGCCATAAAAAATGTAGTCCTTACACTTAGATATAAAAGCAAGGTACATGGATGTAACGTCTTTTTCCGAGATAATCTTAACTTGAAGGTTCGGGCGGTAATTGATCTAGTAAAGGTTTTTGGGCTTGATATTAAGGCTTTCGACTTAGAGTGATATTAGGCTTAAGTCAGATTTTAGGTTTGCTGCCCAAGCGTACCATGACGTGGTAGGCTCATGACCACGGTGTGGTACGTTGTGTAATGAAGAATGAGTTTTAATTGGTCACCACAACATGGCAAGAGGATGGCCACAACGTGGTGAACGTTGTGGCCCAAGCCCATGAAATTTAAGGTTTCTTACATATTTAAAGGCTTAAACTCATGTAGGTCATCCTCTTCAGCCTCCAACCATCTAACACGAAACCCTAGCCTCCATGCATGATTGATAGCTTGTTCTTTGGAATTTGGTGAAGCTTGAGGAATGAGGAACCCCATTTTGGTGCAAGGAAGCAAGAAGCTAGCTTGGATCCATTATCTTCTTCAGATTTCTGAATTATTTGAGGTATAAAGTTCATACCTTGACCTTTGATCTTCTAGATGCAAGTTTGAGCTAATTTTGGATGATTATGGATGCTCTTGGAGATTGAAGAACTCCAGAGCTTGTTATGGCACTCTAATGGTCATTATGAAAGATCTATGTCCAAGAGTAATTATAAAATGATGTTTAATTATAAAATGATGTTTCTAGATAATATATGATCCTAAAGGGTCACACTAATAATAACTTGATACTATTGATTATTTATTAGAAATTGATTTTAATAAATATTCAATAAACTCTTATAATTAACTGGAAATTATTTATTTCATTGAAATATTAATTTTCAGTGGCAAGTAACATAATATATCATATGGTATGATTTATTAAGTTATTTACATTATTTTGGAGTAGAAAGACTTTTGCTTTTAACCTAAAGCCAAAGTTCATATTTTATAAAAGAAGTTTACAAAATTTGTAAACTTTTATCTTCTTTTATATATGTATAAGAACGAATAAAAGAAGCATGGACTTTTTATTATTTAAATCTAAAGAAATCATGGCTTAGAGGTATGGAGAACATTAGGGACATGGTAGGTTTTAAAGTGCTAAGACCTTAAGGGTATTACCTTTGCTTTAAGACTACACATGGGGCTTTCACTCTTGGCTAGTTTTTGAAGCCGAAAACCATAAATCCTCCCTTCCCATGCATTATCTCTAGTTTTGGTTCATTACTTGGAAGAATACTTGCACTTTTACTCTCTTGAATTTCATAATTTGATTATGAAGTTTAATCTTCAGAGTATAAGAGTTTATGGACTAGCATCTACATTAAGTTGAAGTCTTGTTGGTGTTCGCAAAGGTAAGAGTTCTACTCTACACTCTTCATCAACTTCCTAACCTCACCTTGAAGATTCAAAGACTACGAAGTTGTTATGTTTTTCTTCTTCTTTGGTTGTTATTTTATTTCCAAACTTTGCAAGATGATCCTTGGTAGGTTATAAACTTGTTTTATGATTTCGAAAATTAAGTCTTCCGTTTGCCATATTTACTCTAGTTTTGACAAACTATTTTTGAATAAAGCCCAACAATTGGTATCATAGCCACTTTGCAAGTTTGGTTAGGTTTTATGATTTTTGGAAATCTTAGGTTTTAGAAAATTTGGATAACTTGTTTTTGTTAGAAAATAAGTGCATACATATTTTCTAGACAACTTTATAATCATTATTTTATTTCACAAAAAATTTCATGCATATTTTGATATTTAAAGTTATCTTCGATAAATAAAGGTTGTTTTATGTTTATATGTTATTTTGAGTGTATAAACAAGCCATGGACCATTTATGTTGTTGTTTGTGTGATTTGCTAAAAATAGTTGCAATATTCTTTTATTCATAAAGTATGTAATAAAAATAACTAGTTTTTTCATCTTTGTTATTTAATGTAATAGATTGGTTTTTAGACTAGATTTATTTTATATAAAATGTAACAAGATGAAGAGGATGGCCCTTTTCAAAGATCCAGAGGAGGCCAATAGTTTCTAACACTTTTTAAAAAAGTTTATAACTTTTATAAAAGTTTAATAAAATTGCAACAAAGTAGATTATCAATGCAAGTGGGAGCTTGAAGTCAGCATGAAGAACACTTGAAAATTTTGGTCCATTTAGTCCCTTAGGACTTGAAACTTTTATGATGCCTCATAAAAGTGTCACTAGATCTTTGCTTGTTTTGCACTATTATGCATGTTTGTGTTGTTTATTGTATTTAAATATTTTGTGTGGTTGATAAAATAGTTTTTTCACAAACTCAAACTATTTTTTAGACAAATAAACATCATATGGAGTTTATATTTAAAAAAAAAATTTATGTGAACATAAGATGTAACTAGTTATTGTTTTAACATAAAAACTGATTTTATAAAAACGTTAATAATAGAAAATTTTGAAATACTCAATTGTAAGTATTAAAATGGTGATTTTTGTAACTTATAAACTCAAACTTAATAGCGGTTATATATATATATATATATATATATATATATATATATATATATATATATATATATATATATATATATATATATATATATAAGTAACAAAAGGAAGTTTTATTAAAGATATAAAATGTTCAAAAACACTCAAACTCAAACTTAATACCGGTTATTAAATTTAAAATTGAACCGTGTCAAATTATATAAAAACTAACTTTTTATATAGAACCTTTAAAAGTAATTTTTTTTTTTTTTTGAAAATTGGTACCATGACTTATTATATGCATTTAATAACCATGATATCATACGTTTGTTTTAAAACTAGAATTTTAAAACATAAAAATGTTCCTTAAAACCTCAAATCTGTACAATCCATTTTGAAAACCTCGCACATCTCTTGATACGTTAGTGGGATAAAGGATACTTAACCGCGTAGTGTTATCTTTTGACGGTCGGGGTGTATTCGCGATTTCTATAACCAAGTTATAGTCCGATTACACAAGTTGTTCAGCTTGGATGATTTGATCAGAAATCTTTTATCATAAAGGATACCTACGCAAAAGAATTCTGAGGCATAGATGGGATCAAACATCTCTATTAAACTTTGTTATTCGTGATCCTATAAAAATAAAAATTATATAATAGAATATAATTGATAATTGATATATACCTAGTTGGATTCAAATGAATGGGATAAAGTGAAACGACCCAAATATACGACCCAAAAATTTTGTTTTTCAATATAATCAAAACCATAATATGAGTATCATAACATGAAAACATACGCGATGTACCCCAAATCATAATAAAATACTATGCGGAAAACTGTATCATACTATATCAAATCGAAACAACTAAAACCATCCCCAGGATAAATCTAAGCTGTAGTGTGTGCGATGCTATCACCCCGAGCTCTTCCCTTTGCTTGCGGAAGTACCTGAAACCAAAACTGAAACTGTAAGCACAAAGCTTAGTGAGCTCCCCCAAACTACCACATACCATACAATAACATATAAACACATATTGGGCCTAGCCCACTACATCGGGCCGAAGCCCGGAAACTGCATCGGACCGAAGTCCGGAACTGACTGGGACCTTGTCCCCTGCATCGGACCAAAGTCCGGAACTAACTGCATCGGACCAACGTCCGGAACTAACTGCATCGGACCGAAGTCCGGAACTAACTGCATCGGACCGAAGTCCGGAACCGACTGGGACCTTGTCCCCTGCATCGGACCGAAGTCTGGAACTGACTAACTGAACATGGCATAGTATAACACATCATCTCGCATGAACACATATACTGCATACTACATCGGGCCGTAGCCCGGAACACATAACACTAAACACATAAAACATAGCACACAATTCCTGTCTGAGCCACAAAGGCATCAAACATACTAGCTACTGTATCGGACCTAAGTCCGGAAACTACTGCTAACTGAACGGGCTGGCATTGTGGCCTTAGACCCATTCCTACTAGAAGGAAACTCACCTCGTAAACTGGCTGCTGAGTGTGTGGCTCTGGAAGCTAATGGCTGCTGCTCCTGTATCTCCCCGGCTACAAGTCCATAAACACACTCAATCAAATACTAAACACTGCACTTGGGTAAATTGACTCTTTTACCCTTGGTCAAAGTCTCTCTCATTTGGACTGACTCGCCGAGTTGGGCCACCCAACTCGCCGAGTCCTACTCTCACTTTTCAATCCTACTCGCTGCTACTCGTCGAGTATGGCATCGACTCGACGAGTACCCTCTTGATCCAAGAACTCAGACAATCTTCATCCGACTCGCCGAGTCGTATGAACATACTCGACGAGTTGTTCTTGATCTTAAGAAGATTGCCTTGGACTCGCCGAGTTGTATGAACAACTCGCCGAGTCCCTCCATCACTGAGTCTACCCTCAACTCGCTGAGTCCACTCTCTAACTCACTGGTTCCACTCG